ACTGCTTACCTTCTGCTTGTGGATACTTAATTGTACTCCACATCCACCCCATGTATATTCCAGTAGCAGAATCCCTGCACTGGGTGATCTTGTTACTGTGCTATGTGGTTACAAAGAAGGCCATAGCATTGTAATATTTTGGTGCCTTCTGGCGAAAATGCCAAAACGTTGACCGGAAATGCTAAAAACAATACAAAAGCCAAAATGTTAACTGGGAACAGCTCTAAACCCAACTACTCTAGTGGAAACCAAAACTATTCGAAAACCTAAAACATTAACCGAAATACCCAACTGCCCTGATGAAATTACCAAAAACTAATCTAGGAAACAGGCCAAAAACAATACCCGAAAACTGTTCTAAGTCCATCACAGAACTTTAACATTAACTGGAGTTAGGCTAGAAATAACCAACTTGGAACTTCTAACAAAAGTACCGAAGTTTATGCTCTAGCACTAAATTAGTACCAGACCTAAACCTACCGGAGGAACCACCCAAACCACATGACCAAAACGCTCTTTGGAATCTCTTTCAAGATCCTGGAAACTTAAAGCAAATATACTATCCAAACCAAAAAAAAAATAGCATTTAGGCCAAATATAAATGCAAGATAGTAAATGCCAAAGTTACTCACTGAAGAAAACTGCTTTACAAGAAATACCAATGCTCCTACGTAACTAGTAGAACCTAACATATTCGCCAATCTAACGGATCCGGAATGCCTAGTACAAGTCACAATGCCCTAGCCTACAGGAAGTAGCTTCTCGGTCCAAACCTTATAGCACTGCCGCATATACAAACAAAAGTGCTATATACCTAACAACTGCTACTACTAGTACATTCAGCTATGTGCTTAGCAACGCGCTTAAATATCGCGTTATTACGTAACCTAAGGCTAAAACAACAAAATTAAAGTACTATGGCCCAAATTATCAAGACCAAAAATAATGCCACCCTGAGGCAATTAGGTATTAAATAGATAAATAACTAAAAATAGAAACCATTTGTTAGAATGGTAATTAAATAAAACTTAAAAATGAAACGGCATTAATGGACCCAAGCATGCATTTGGAAACTAGACTTTATAGCAGATCAAATTGAATCAGGACCTCGGTTGATCCTTAAAATAAATGCCCTAATAATGTTATCAATACTAGATGTATTAAATCACTGATAAGATCAGGATTAAAAGGAATCGAATAAAACGTATAGAATTTAATTTAGCTCTAATCTTTATTGAATATTCAACTCAATGCTTTAAACGAACAACAACATCAAACAAGCACAAATGGATGAATCTTTGGAATCATAAAAGCCCTATTAACTATAATGTGCAAAAGATTCTGGAACCCTTATTGAACCAAAAAGGTTCTTGAAAGCATCTGTCCAAGCCTAACGGAATGGAGAAATGCAAACCGATATCTAAGCGGTGCAAGCACATGATAAGACTTTCAAGGCCAGAACTTCGATTATTCAAAAAAAAAAAAAAAAAAAAAAGTCAAGCAAGTACAAAGACTACAATAAAATACCCAACCGAAAAAAAAAAAAATTATGGAGACTACGATCAAATCCATGAAGAAACTTTATTATATATCTTTGGAAAATAACCTTGAATCACCCTAATGAAAGTATCGATCTACAAGGAAGCAACAATGAAATTAATGTTGGAATATCTTAAAATTCTTAAAAATATAACAATAAAAAGATAAGGAAAGTCAACTTATCTAAAATGACAATTCACTACAATCGGAAATCACCTTGATATTATTGGTGAACCTACTAGTAAGATGTATGCTAAAGAGGCTTTGAAAAAGGTGCGCTGCCTGTAAGCCGTCATGCGAAAAGGCAATGTTGGTTAGTCTGTCGATAAGCTATACACAAAAAGGGTCTTGTAAGGGAGCTGTGCCTGCTTGTAACTCGTGATACAAAAATGACTGTTTTTTTTTATCCTAGGATTATTATTATTTTGATTATAATTATTATTATTGTTTGTTTTATTACTATTATTATTATTATTATTTGGTACTATAGCTCCGAATGCTGAATTCGGAATATATTTTAAAAAATATATATATTAACATACTGTTACAGAGTAGTAGCCTTCTTAATTTACTCTATAACGACGACATGGCACAGGGAATCCTTTCGTAGGTATATGCG